TCTTAATTGCGCTGCGGGGCGGAAGATCGGATGTTGCAGACTTGTTTGTCAACGCTGGATGACGGGCTAAAGAAGTAAAAGCTTTTGCGCCTGGCTGCCAATTGGGTGTGACCGCTTCCATGATGCTGACTACCGGCAGGTCTTTGGTCCTTTGCAGAGAGGCAGGGGCCCAGCTCGATCGGAAATGTGCACAATTGTCCGTTTCACGGTATTGGCCTTTGGTTATTCGCAGAGAGGCGGTGGTGTCAAGGCCCCAGCTTGACCCTGCAATGTGCGACGTTCCCGGAAGAGGCGTGAAACTAGGAAATGAAAGAGGCAGTCTCTTGGCTGCAGCAAACAGGCAGAAGGAAAACAAAAAGGGGACCTTGGTTTCCCAGCTTGTGCCATCTACTATTGTCATACTGCAAAACATGGATGAATCACTTGGCACCAAAAACTACAAGCGTAATCTCTCCAAGAAAATGAGCTCCCCGGCAGTGTCCTTGGTCGACCTTGATGTCACCTGCTCAGCCTAGGGGCCAGGCAAAGGCACAATTTTCAACGGACGGCGCTGTGTTCAATGGCAGGGTGATGCTCAAAGAAGCGGTCTCTTGGCCTACTGCACGCAGCTGTGCAAAAGGGGCCTTGGTTTCCAAGGTTGCGCCATCTACTATTGCCATACTGCTTAAAAAAGATAGATCCAGTTGGCAGAGAAAATCTACAAGCGTAATCTCTCCAAGAAATTGAGGTCCCGGCCGTGTCCCTGGTCGAACTTGATGTCACCTGCTCAGCCTAGGGGCAGCCAGGCAATGCCCGCACAAAAAAGGCAGTTCAACAGACAGGGCACTGTGCTCCTTGGACAGGGCAATGGACAGGGCGCCGTTTAAAGAAGCGGTCTCTTGGTCTACTTCACGCAGCTGTGCCGTGGCAAACAGGCAGAAGGAAAACAAAAGAACCTTGGTTTCCAAGGTTGTGCCATCTCCTGTTGTCAAGTACCCCTTCTGAAGAAAATGAGGTCCCGGCCGTCCGTCTGGTTGAGCTCGATGTCACCGGCTCAGCCTAGGAGCGCCAGGCAATGCCCGAAACCGCAATAAGGTTACTTTTCAACAAGGACACCCCCATCTTGGTTGAGGGGATCTGTTTCAGGGCCTAAACACACATTCAATCTCAGTTTGCAAATCTCGCAAGGAAGCTCCAAGCAATACCAAGTCAAATGCCTCGAGCGATTGGAAAAAGGACCTTCGCAAAAGCAAACCTAAAAAAAGGTGACGCGGTACGCGGCAACAACTAGGGTTTCCCGACCTCCCAAAACCGGTTCAAATAAACCTCACAGCCTTCATTCCTGACAAGCAGGTAGTCCACCAAAGTAGATGGCGCAACGTAGACGCGCAACGTACCACCTGTTTGGAGGGGCCTGACCTTACAGCAAACCACATCAAATGGAAACTCAGTTGCAAATCTCAAAAAGGATGCCCCAGCAAGACGAAACCAAATGGAAACTCAGCTCCAAAATCTCAAAAGAACTTGCAGCAATAATAAATCAAATGGAAACTCAAGTCTACCAATACAAAATCAAATGGAAATTCAACTGGACTGGACCCCCAGATCCTTCTCTGAGCCATCTAAAATGGGCAAAAGCGTCTCATTTAAGTCCTTTGCATCAAGAGCGGGAAGCAAGCCCCCCTTTCAATCTGCTCTTCTGAGAAGCCCGGCCACACCAAAGCTGGCTGGGATGCGCCGCCGAGGCGGCATGGTTGCAGTTTTGAGCCATGCAGCTTGGCAAACGTGCATTTGTAATCCCCTACTTGCATAACTCTATTGAGTCCACCTTGGCTCCAGACTGGGCCGGTTGGAAGAAGCAAACAAGCGGAACAAATTTGTGGAGAAGAGCCGTTAGACCCTTCCAAGTGATGAGTTTCAAGCTGCTTGGCAGCAAGCAAAATCCAAATCAAGCCTTTGGCTGGGATGCTCCCAGTTTTGGAGGTTCTCCGTCCTAGCAGTTGTCCAGGAAAAAGAGCCCTACACAAGCCAAATGGATCAAACGATTTTCGGAAAAATAGGAAAGAGTTGTGCCATCTACTCTGGCCAGAACATTTCCGATAATTTTCCGATAATTGATAATCTCCGTTTGTCAATAGTAGATGGCACTCCCCCCGCCCATTTTTTGAGCCATCTACTCTCAAATCAGAGTATGTGTTGCAGGTGAACACATGTTTGTTTTCAGATGAACACCCGTGTGTGTGTTCCACGTGTACACATATGTGTGTTCACGTGTGCGCACATGTGTGTTCCAATTGGACCAAACAATTGGACACGTGCTTGCGTTCCAGGAGAACACACGTCTTTTTTCTCGGATGAGCGCGCTGGTGTGTGTTTCGGGTGCACATATATGTGAGTGTTCATGTGTGCGCATATGTGTGTTCACGTGTGCACATATGTGTGTTCCGCGCGTACGCACATGTGTGTGTTTGTGTGCCACTTGGACACGTGTTTGTGTTCCAGGTGGACAGATGTGTGTTCCACGTGAACACATTGCTGTGTGCTAGGTGAACATTATTTTGCATCTGACGACATATTTGCTCTCCAGGTGTACACATGTATGTGCTCCAGAAAACGCATGATTGTTTTCAAGGTGCGCACATGTGTGTGCGCGCTTTAGGTGAGCATTTGTGTTTGCTCACGCGTGCAGATATGTGTGTTCCACGTGTGCACACATGTCTGCTCCAATCACGCACGCGGTGTTCCTGGACACACATTTGTGTTCCAGTGGTATACATATGTGTGTCCCACATGTGCACACATGTGTGCTGTAATTGCACGTGTTTGTGTTCCCATGCCCCCCCTTGCCAGCCGTGTTGCATAGGATGTGCTTGACCTGCAGCCCAGTGCCCGGGCCCCTAAGCAGGGTTTCTGCGGGGGAAAAAAGGCGCGCAGGGAAAACATGGACACGCGTTTCATTGTGTTTCAAGTGAACACATGTGTGTTCCACGTGAACACATTAGCGTGTCGTAGGTGAACACATATGTGTGTTCCAGGTGTACACATGTATGTGTGCTTTACAAGAAGCACACGTTGGTTTTCCAGCTCAACACATGTATGCGTGTGCCGCAGGTGAGTGTATGTGTGTGTTCACGTGCGCGTGACATATGTGTGTTCCACATGTACACACCCACACACATGTGTGTCTGAATTAGACATGTGTGTCTGAACTGCCTATGTGACCGCACGCTTGCGCAGCCACACTTGCGTTCACGCGCGCGCGCGCTCGCCCGCTGTCGCACCTGCGCGGTGCTGAAGCGCAGCAACACACGTGCAGCAACGCAACGCGTGCCAGGTTCACGACTGCATCATTTTGATTCATCCTTGTTGAAGCGCAGAAAAAGCAACAAGCTGTTGGCACGTTTGTGCTTGCCCGTCAGTCCTCAACTGTTTGGGGTCTCTGCTGCTGCATTTTTTCTGTGAAGTTGAACTTCAAGGCCGCGATCAAGTTAATTTTAGGACTTGCAGCTTTGGGAAAGAGCGTGCTGGGCAATAGTGAAGGAAAAGCCAGCCGATTAATTGGCCTGCTTAAAAGTGGAGAAAACACAAGCTTAAGGAGCGAAGCGCCAATTTATGTGAAGGATCTGAAGCATCTTTGCAGTAACTTTAAGGAATGTTGTCTTAGGTCGCGAAAGTTCAGTAAAAAGATGTTGACACCTCGAATGTCCCAAAAATGTGTTGTGACATAGCGTGTGTTTGCGCTGTCTGCGCAGTTGCGTTTCGTTGCAAACTGTTCGCAGCGCGGAACACGCGGCAGCGTTTTGCACGCAGCGTAACAAGTGCTGCAATTGCCTCGAACGTTACTTACTCCGCAACGTTGCCGGGCGCAATTGACGCAGCGCAAATGCCAAATGCAATTTCCACTGTTGACTGCCTTAAGCAAGACGGGAATCTTTGTAAATGTTGCTTCGGAAGAACAACTTTTTGTTCTGGCATGAACAGTTGTGGCTTTTGTTCGTCAGTTTCTCAAAGGTGGATGATCCAGCTTATTGAAGCTAACTTTAGGCGGCCTCATTTTCCGCAAACTGCGGAAATTGGGCCAGATGAGCGGAAAGAGCCAGATCAGCGGAAAGACACTGAGAAAGAGAGAGAGAGAGAGAGAGAGAGAGAGAGAGAGAAAGAGGGAGGGAGAGAGAGAGAGAGAGTGAGACAGAGAGAGAGAGAGAGAGAGAAAAAGAGAGAGAGACAGAGAGTGAGAGGAAGGGACAGAGAAGGGAAAGAGACGTGTGGCATAATTTTGAATGTTCGGCCCCGCCCGTGGTAGTTCGCTTATGGAGTTGCGTCATGCTAGTTTGCTGTTCTGTTTTGCCAGATTGTGGTAAACATCCTTTTTGCCTTTACGGCAATGAGCTGCTATATGCGCAGTTCATTTGAAGTCGCTATTAGCCTCACCTGCTGCTACCATTGCTTGCTAGGACGGCAATGGCAGGGCGGGGACTGCAACATCTTGGCTATGGTAGGGAAACTGGAGTTTCAGTTGCGCACTGGGATTCCTCGCCCGTAATTTTGGCTTGCGTCCCGCATTCCTGTCCAACAAACACAAATTGTAATGCTGCGTCTGATGTGTTTTGATTGCGAATTACGAATCCAAATTTGTGAGCATGTTGCACAGTTTTAGTTTAGTGACAGAAGTTGGTGGGTTCAAATTGAATCTGCGTTGCAAACGCATTTAGGTCCGTCTGGCAGCAGTGTGACGCAGGGCTTTTTGCCCTCAGGCACAATGTCATCATCATTGCAGAACTTCGTGAAAGTCACACAGTGGTTTAAATTAGAACTTGCCACGTTGTTGTAACTTCTGGTACTGAGGTTAGCTAGAAGTCATTTTCTATGTCAGAATTAAGTTGATTTATGGCAGTTGTCATGCCACGCAGCTTTTTGGGCACCACTGGACAGATCATCCATAAATGCACATGCTCCGTACCCCCAACATTGCGGAAGTTGCGAACCAGGGGGGCAGTTGTTCAGCACAGCAATGGTGTGAGTACCAAGTGCCAAGTTCCACGTTGCAAGCATGACTCGGGATGGCGAAGACAAGGACGGCAGACAAATAGGTTTGTTGCGTTCTGCACGTTTGTTTTGTTTGTGTGTCTGTTTGTTTGTTTGTTTGTTTGTTTGTTTGTTTGTTTGTTTGGTTGCTTGCTTGCTTGCTTGCTTGCTTGCTTGCTTGTTTGTTTGTTTGTTTGTTTGTTTGTTTGTTGGTTCGTTCGTTCGTTCGTTCGCTCGCTCGCTCGCTTGCTTGCTTGCGTTTGCATATTTCCTCACGATTTGCTTATCGACAGGACCGAAGCCGAAGCCGGGACAAAAAGGCAGCAAACTGAAAGGGGGAATGTACCTAGCTTCTGCAATTTGGTTTCCTTTGCAACTGAGGACAGCCGCCCTCGTAGCCGGGACAGTCAGAAGCCTACGGCTGGCAGTGCTTGCATTTTTTTTTTTTTTTTTTTTTTTTTAAGCTTTTGCAACAACCGTCATACTTGTAAGGCAGAGATCGCGGTGCCCGCTCTAAGGCAGAGGTACGCCGCTTTGATGTGAAACACCAGCCAATGCAAACCATTTTGTAGTTGGAACATGTTCTGGTTTCCTGACTGGGTTGGCAATGACAAGCAGCAGGACCATGGTGTCGATACCATGAAGATCACTGACGATGACGCTACTTGCTTGACAATGCTGCAGAATTAAACAAATGACAATGATTGATCCAACATTTGCCAATAACACATTTTCAGCAGTTTAGGTGTTGGCAACAGTTTCTGGCCAAGGCTGCTTTCATTCTGGGCAAAGGCGGAAAGACCAAGGCTGGATGAAATTGCATGAGCGTGTCGAGATTGTGTTTGAAGTAGGGCTTACAGGGTTATGTTAGCCAGGGCAGCAGCCAAAATTGGCCAGGAGAAGATAGCCCGAGTTTCAGGTGCTGAGATTGAGCTGTTTGAACGTGACCTGGCCGTGCTCTCAGTCTTGACAGCGGGAAATCCGACGTTGTGAAGGTAGCGCATGCTGGTTTTGAAGCAAGGTTTTGGAAATTCGTGGGCCAAAGATCAAGCGGAAGAGAGCCAAGAAGTGCTCATCACAGTAAGTGAGACGGGTCCGAAATGTGGCTTTCATTCCCGCGAGTCTGTACACCATTTCAGCCGCTTTTGGACAACAGGTACTGCGAAGGGGTCATGGCGCAGCGGACTGGCCCAGTCAACGTCACTGAGGCTGTGCCATTGCTAAGCTGCTATTGTTTTATGCGAACAGTTGATTGCAACTTGTGTTGCAGGAATATGATGACGACGACCTCACCATGCTCAACGTTCCTCAAGAAGCAGTAGGTTTTGTGACTGGTACGTGCCTCAATGAACCTTCTACGCCAACAGCGCATTTTGCATGTACACTGGAGTGAGGCCGAGCTGGTAACTTTTTGAGAAGCATTGAAGAGGAGTGGTGCACGTGCGCTGGCAAGAGTTTGCCAACCGATTGCGAGCGTGAGCAGTTGATCAGGCGGCAGCAGCCAATTTCCTACCACGGGCCAATACGGTTGCCAGGTTAATGTTCTTTTGCGAAGTGGATGGCTCACGTGGTCGTGGGCGTGAGTACGAGAAGTGTGGACCTCAGACATTCTGTCACAGTGAGCAGAAGGTGCAGTGTGACACTCGCAGCTTCGCCTTGTTGCCATTTGATGTTGTCGATGGTGCCTCCTGTTTGGTCGGCTTGAAGGGAAACCCACATGAAACGAGGTCCCGCAAACCAACAAACAGCTGGCTGTTCCTGCTGATTGCGCGATAGAACAGTTCAGTGTTAATAGCCCCTATTCCAGCCACCCGGAGAAAAACATCTTGCCGCCACGCCCAGTTACCTTAAACTTTGGGATGCACTCTAGTCCTTTCTTCTCGGTCTGAGCTCGCACTGGACCCTTTTTCCAATGCCATCCTTCTCGAGAGCAGTGTCACAGCTAGCGGCTGTTGAGTGCGAGCTGGGCGCATCGGACCCTTCGCTGCAGTCGTGCTAAATTTTCGAAGCCCCAGTTTGGACATTTGGAGTTTGTTTCTGTCGCTGGACTCGCAACTTTTGCACTTCTTATCTCGTAAAGTGTGAATGGAGTGGCAGTGAGTTGGAGAGTTGGAGAGTTGGAACATGTTCTGTGCCCTTTCAGGCTTGCCATTTTCGGGGAGATTCGCGGTCGGCGAGGCGCAGAACTGAAGGCAGGTTTGTCATGCCGAGTGTCGTGCCTCGCGTAGCTGTACTTCATTTTCATGTCAACTTGCACAGGTGCTATCTGCCGTGGAGACCAAAGTTCCCGGATATCTCGACAGGTCGGGGGCCTAAACATTTGGATGCGTCAGCTTGTCTCGGTGCACTCTGCCGGATTGGTTTCGATGATAGCACATTGAGGAGAAATCATAGATATAGGAAGCAACAGATTGGTATCGACCGCTCGCAAGCGGCAGACATGCGAAATCTCAGTGCATCGTTTTTGAATTCATGCTTTACCCATTTTTTGCCCCGCACACTTGTTTTATGGTACTTGCATCGAGGATTCGAAACGAAGTGCTTGACAGAGACAGGGGCAAGGCCGCGCATGAGCATGTTTTGTTTGCTTTCCACATTCGGAGTTTCCTGCATAGCACCTTGAATTGCATCTGGTTGGACAGTCTTTCTCGGTAGCTCAGCATATTTTTAACGTTCCAGAATAACGCTCAATGATGTGCACTCTTTCTGATGCGCAGAGGATGAGACTGGAACATGGGGGACGGACACTATGACTTTCAAGGTGGACGTCTCAGCATTTCTTACGCCAGAAAATCATTCGCAGGATGACCTACACCGTTCTTTCGAGGAAGGCAATTGCTGATTGAGCCAAGGACGATGAGCTCTCCTATGCATTGGGCAAGCAGGGCGGTACAAGAAAAAAGCATGGGGCCCAGAGGGCTCTGCTTTTCCGGCTTCTTGTGCATTGACCAATTGGTACTGAGGCTAGAACGCTCATCCCAAGCCGTTGTTCAGTTTCAGCCTCATTTGTTGGACATTACAATTATAAGCATTGTCGCCATCCCTGCAAGTGCAGCGGTGCTTTGAGTGGTGGATTTAAAGCAAGCCAGAGGGAGCCGGGCCTCACAGCAAAGAGATGCATTGACAAGCAGAATGCAACGAGAGCGTGAGATGACAGAGAGAGAGAGAGAGAGACACACATGCACACACGTATGCACACAAAGAGACGGACAGACGACAGACGCACAGACGGAGCAGACCGGCCTGTTTAGAACCGCGCAAGTGTTGGGCCGCTGGGCCCTCTGTTTTTTTTTGGAGTTCTATTTAGTATTGGGCTGGGGATAAATTAGCGTGGGCGTTTTCGGGGGCAGGGGCTTGTGTTTTGGAATGCTCATTATGTATTAGGCCAACACCAATTAGTACTGGGCATGTTTTTCTTCTTCTTTTTTTTTAATATTTTGTTTGGAGAGAATGCGATTGGCCCATCGCTAAATTAGTGTTGGGCCAAGAGCTTCTGCATGAGTATACTGAGGGTTCGCTGGGTTGGCGGGATTAAACATAGAACAAACGTAAAGATAAAGGATGTTTGGGATCGCTGGAAGTCAGCTTAGCTATATTTAGGGTCTAGCATTTGTTTTGTGCATGAGGCGTGATGAGGGGTTGTTTTGTGGCAGCCAGGGAGGATCTTCTTGAAGGGACGGTCCACGAATTTGAGCGCTTGCAGGGAGTTGAGAATCAACGTTACGATGAGCCCAATTGAATGGACACTTTGCCCCTGAATAAAGATAAGGGGGTCATGGCATTTTTGGAATCACTGGACAGTCTTTTTTAGTGCATGAGGCTTGGCGGGGCATAGTCTTGTTGCCAGGATCTATGGCTGATTTTGAAGGAGTCTAGGTAAATAATTTAATGAAGGGGGCGGCCTAATTGAATAGACACCTTGCTCCTGAACAAGGATAAGGGATGAGAGAATGTTTGGGATCTCTAGGAAATTAGCTTAGCTTTGTTTAAGGGCTTGGCATTTTATTTGTGCATGAGGGTTCTTGGGGGTAGCGCGCATGAAGGAGTTTAGATAATTAGAAAAACAAAAAACAATGGAGGGGGTAGTCCACTGCAAGGATAGTGTTTGTAACCCACCCGAAACCAGCAGCAGGCAATCCCTTAGCCACCAAGAACCCAACCATAAACCCCCAAGCCAACTCAAACCGAATTGCTAACCAGCACTAAAGCATTCCGACACCAGAATAGGCCTACCTTAAACAACCCTAAGCCACCACAACCCCTTAAATCCGAGCCTAAGCCCACCCTGAACCAGTACTAAACCAACCCTGAACCTGTTTTATGCAAAGTCTCAGCCAACCTAAACCAACCGTAAACCCACCCTAAAGCACCCCAAGCCCCGCCCAAACCCACTGTAAACAGACTGGAATCCAAACTAAGCTCAGTCTAAAGAGTGTCGAACCCGATGCTGGGGATGTTGATGGTGCTGGTGTAAAACAAGTGCATGCTTGTTGGCAAATGCTGTAAAGTAAGTCATTTTAGCGCCTACCGAACCCAGGAAGAATACGCCCGCCAAAATAATCCTGTCTCACTCAAGCAGACACGCTATGTTAAAGCTTAGATCAGGATAGTGGTGCGCGCGCTTCTTTCTTGTGTCATGCACGCACAGGACGTTTCTTTTTTTTGGTCTTGCGAGACCAAACTCAGCTCTCTCAGGTACGTCGGCAACGTCGCCCTTTTTTCTGGCACCAAAAGTGAGAGGCGGTTTGGTGCCCGGCTTGCGTCATCTATCATGTTTTGCATGGGGAAGTTGTTCAGGCCACATGTTGTTGCTCTGGATCCCCGGTTTTCGAGGCGAGCCAAGGAGTACATGCGGTGGCTTTTCGATCAGCTCGCAGGCCCAGTGTATGTGGAAGGCCTGAGAGTGTTTTTCTTTTGGAAAAAAGACAACTGTGAGTTTCGGATGTGATTTGAAACCTATGTGCAGGCTGGGAAGAAAGAGACGACTGCACAGTTGTCGAGGAGCGCATTCGTGTGATCCAGTTGTTGGTCATCAGCATATATCGGATATATTTTGTATCGGATTGTTGAAAATTCAAGGCAGATCCTCGTCTAACAAAGACTTCAACAAATGGGGGCCGGGTGGCGGGTTTCGGACTGGTATATCCTTATACTTGTTTTGCTAAGATGTTAGGGCAAGCACTTTTACGTCAATACTGGTGGTTGACAGATTTTGCTGGACTTGTGCGTAGAGAGTAACTAAGAGCCCAACATGTACTGGTGCAAATGCATTCCGTTGCCTTAGCTTTTTTCCCTGCCCAGCGGAAGCTTGAATCCGGCCTTGGATTGCCAGGTCCCGAGCGAGTGCATTGGTTACATTACTGGTGCTCGTCGAGTGCGAAGCTTGGCACATGTTTGCAGGCAAGCCAGGTTGCAGGGTTGGCAGGACAAGTTTCGGTGCTTGAAGCTTCGTCGCTGCTGGAGATGCAGAGCAACACTTGTGAAGGCAACTTTGGGCACTATGGAGGAGGAATGGGGCTCGACCCTAAGGTCAGTATGCAGAGGCCGTGACACGCGCATGATTTTAGAAGCTTCGAAGCTGGAGAACACACACACAAGCAGCTTCGACTACTGTACCCAGATTGGGGGGAAACTGCCAGAAGGAGTCTCCCAGATGTTTTGGGTCTATGGACCCAGGGAGGTGCACACATTCGATCGCAGCTTCTCTGCACATTTGAGCCAAGGCACTCTGATGTTCTTTATGAACAAGCAAGCTGGACTCTGATTTGCTTGGGAGTTGAGCTGAGCAAGCAGCGGCCGAGGAAGATCGCCGCGGTGCCAACCGCACGGAAAAGCTTGCCATTTTTGGATCCGAGCGGGCTCGACGAGGCGCTGAACTGAAGGCGGGCATGTGTTAGATGAATTTGATATTTTTGATTCGTGGTGTCATATGATTTGTGTTGACAGCATTGGCAGGTCATGAGCGGCGTCGAAACAAAGTCTCCTGGGTACTATACAAGGGGCGTGCGAGAGAAGGTCTCTGACAAGAAAGGCTTTGACACTGCCCACTGCCCAGCAGAGTTTCCATGTCCAGTGTGTGTAGATCATTTGCCTTGTCTTCCGGGATCATCTTGTCAGGATCGTCTTGTCTTCCGGGACGACGAGTTGAGTTATGCATTGGGCAAGGAGGCTTGAGATGAGTTCCTTGATGTTGAATTGCTGAAACACCTGGCCCAGGGTGCAACGAGAAAGAAATTGGAGACTGCATCAGGCGCTTTGCCAAGCACCAGCCGGGCAAGGGTTCTGTTGGCTCGGCTTGCTTGTGTTATATTTCTGGGTATTGGTGGTTGCCCAGCTCAACAAGCCACATGGAGAAAGGGGACCATGTCCTACACCGGCAGCCATGTGCTGGTTTGGTTCTCACATTGACTGAGCACTTGACTAAGGTGAAGTATGTCTTCCTTTTGTACCGCGCGTGTCATCAGCTTCAACACATTGCGCGAATCTTCCAGTATTCGAGTAGCCTGTTCCGTCTCTGTCTCCAAGCCATCTTGAGCGGCTGAGTCAGCCCTCCTGTCCAGTCAGGGCAACCTCCACCTTTCAGGTTCTTTGCTCGTTTTTGGCGCATCTCTTACCTGGCGTCTGGCTTGTGCCCAGGCATCCCAGGCATCTTGCCGTGACACACGCACCGCACAACTCGCCGTGGTACAAGCCATTAGTGGATCTACACCCAACGTCGAGCTTCGTTTTTGCTTGAGGTCTAACATGCTAATGCCTGTGTCAGGACTCATGAGATGCTGAAGACCATGCGTGGACACGCGCTTCAACTTGCCTTTGTTGAAGAAGTTTCTGTGCGAGCTGACGAAACACATCCAGAGCTCGAGAAGTGCATGAAGCACATCGGGGCTGTTCGCCCTGGACAAGATGCACATGCTCGCAGGTGCCATTTTGCAGTACGTCGGCAATGTTGCGTTCATTGGCGGCGTCAAGAAGGACCTTCAATCTTTGCTACTTTGCCAAAATGACATAATGTGTGTGTGTGTGTGTGTGTGTGTGTGTGTGTGTGTGTGTGTGTGTGTGTGTGTGTGTGTGTGTGTGTGTGTGTGTGTGTGTGTGTGTGTGTGTTTGTGTGACCACTTGCAGGAAAGAAGTCGTTGCCGAGAGTTTATCCAGCGACTCGGGCAATGATTGTTGTGCCATCATTCCCCATAACAGCGTAGCAACGCCAAATCTTGCAGGTGGCTTTTGGCACAGCGACGAGGAACGGTTACAATTTCCGATGTGGGTCACCGCTGGAGCCTTGCGGCAAGGTAGCGCTAAGAAGTCTTGGCAACCCTTTTGCCCAGGTGATGACTGTACGGAAGTTCACATTCCGGAGAACTGCAAGGGCTGGGTGACAGGGACTGGACGCTGCACAATTTGCATTGCGAGACATCATTTCATTTCACTTGCAGGAATCGTGGAAGCGAGTTGCGGCGAATGGAAATGCAGCCCATCACCCAGCACGTAACCTGACATGTTTTCATCGAATGAAGAGATGTTGGCCGGCTGTCATTGATTTGGGTCACAGGTCCAGCACCTACATGTTCATGGCCCTTGACGAGCGCGGGGAGGCACACCTTCTTGATCTTTGTTTGTTGTGGAGGCATCCCATGCATTTTCTAAGGAGCGCTTGCTTATTTTCAGTGCTGACGCTGGTTCAAAGCTTCAGCCCAAGTACGCTTTGCAAGCCTGCGAGCTTGAGGGCCGTTGGGAGAGAGAGGGTAAGAGGGGCAGAGCGGAAGAGCATGACCGTGATGAGGACAGGTGACAAGGGCCGGATGTGCAAGCCTCGGATCGTTGCGAAGGGACGAAGCATTAGGCTTAGGCTTGCTAACTGCATGGAAATTTGCGACTTGCTATCACTCACAATCACAGTTTGGTTATTTGAGTCGACTGAGAGTTTGACTCAGGGGTGCCGAGCGCTTGGTCAACGAGCTTGTCCAGGCACTGAATGGATGCTTATGGCAAAACCGATTTGCCACCTTGAAAGGAAAAGCTAGGATCGGGCGGCCGGAGTTGGCCTCAGAGTTTGTGCTGTTACTTGGTGCCTGCTCCGTCCGAGTGAGATGGGCTAGCACATGTGAACTAAGGGGCCGCTCTGACAGTCGAAGTGGCAGACTTATATGGCATGTGCAAGGGTCGCTTGAACTCTGCCTTCAGCTTCTGAACTGCCAACAGACGGCTAGTCTGAGTTGCCAAACATTCAACTCCTTTCTCAATATGTTGTACAGAAGGCAAGACTTGCAGAGTGAAGAAGAAAGAAGCTCGATATATTTGCACTCAGGACGCAGCCCTAGCCGGAGGGGCCGGTCAGACTCAAGGCTTGCCCAATGTTCGGTCATTTTTTAGGTTGCATGGAAGAAAGTGTGTGGTGCCACATTTGTGTGCACTTGTGCTTGCTGAGGCATGTTGCGGGTGATATGCAAGTACTTTCAGGAGAGTCATAGAGGAAAGCTCGTGGTATAGCCAAAGCCTAGCAAAATTAAAGTTGAAGCCATGGCCAGTGATGATTCTCTTTCTCTGTTGCTTTTCCTGTCACTATTTGTCTCGGAACCGGCCCCATGCATCCTCGGAACCCTTGCGGAACCCTCCCCGGAACCCTCGCGGAACCGTGCGGAACCTTCATCGAAGCCCTCGCGGAACCTTACCTCAGAGCCGCCTCGCGGAACCCTCGCGGAACCGTACCTCAGATCCGCCCCGCACCACCCCGGAGCCTGTCTGGGCTGAGACCTTATTTCTTTCAGCTGTTGGGGAACAACGGAAAGACATAAAGGAGGAAAGAAGAAAACACGCAAGAACGGAAGAAAATAAGCAAGAAAGAAATACATGAAGGAACACAAATTAATATGTAAGATAAATCAATACAGAAAGAAGGAAATAACCAATAACGCAAAAACAACACCAACAAATAAACACATATTCAGAATAAAGAAAGCAACAACTCAAAAGAGAAAGAGCTAATTATATAAGTCAAGCAGAAACACATAAAGAGACAAGTAAGTAAATAAAGGAACACATACATAAACAAATACACACACACATATGAATGAATGAATGAATGAATGAATGAATGAATGAGTGAGTGAGTGAATGAATGAATGAATGAATGAATGAATGAATGAATGAAGGAAGGAAGGAAGGAAGGAACGAAGGAATGAATGAATGAATGAATGAATGAATGAATGAATGAATGAATGAATGAATGAATGAATGAATGAATAGAAGGCTACATGAAGAAAGGACGAACGAATGAATGAATGAATGAATGAATGAATGAATGAATAGAAGGCTACATGAAGAAAGGACGAACGAATGAAAAAATGAAACAAACAACTTAGGAAAGACTTTGATCAATATATAATGGCATGACGAAAGAGTAACGCAACAAATACAGAAAGACAGGCAACAACAACGGGCAGAAAGAACACATCGCAAACAAAGAAATAACACAGACATACATGAATAAATAACACAAGAAAGAAAGAACATAACAAAAGAAAGAAAGAAAAGAAAAGAAAGAAACAAAGAAAGAACGAAAGAAAGAAAGAAAAGAAAGAAACAAAGAAAGAACGAAAGAAAGAAAGAAAGAAACAAAGAAATAAAGAAATAAAGAAATAAAGAAATAAAGAAATAAAGAAAGAAAGAAAGAAATAAAGAAATAAAGAAAGCAAGAAGGAACTACAGAAGGAAAGAAAGAACGAAGGAAAGAACAATAGAAGAAAACAGAAAGGAAGGATGGAAGGAAGGGAGGAAGCAAGGAAGGAAGGAAGCAAGGAAGGAAAGAAAGGCAGAAAGACAGAAAGAAAGAAAGAACACAAGAAGGAAAGAAAGAACGAAAGAAAGAGTGAAAGAAAGGAAATAAATAAAGAAAGCAACAAATAAAGAAAGAAAGAAAGCAGGAAGAAAGGGAGAAACAAAGAAGCAAAATAAAGAAAGGAAGAAAGAAGACAAATCAACAACTAAATAGAGAAATAAATAAACAAATGAGAAAAGAAAGAAAGGAAAGAAAGAGGGAAATAACGAAAGAAATAAATAAGTCAAGAAAGAAAGAAAGAAAGAAAGGAAGGAAGAAAGAAAGAAAGAAAGACATAAGAAAAGAAAGAAAGAAGGAAAGAAAGAAGGAAAGAAGTAAGGAAAGAACAAAAGAAAGAAACAAAGAAAGAAAGAAAGAAAGAAAGAAAGAACAAAATAAACAAAAAAAAGAAAGAAAGAAAGAAAGAAAGAAAGAAAGACAGAAAGACAGAACATAAGGAAGGAAAGAACGAAGGAAAGAACAGAAAGAAAGAAGGAAAGAACAAAATAGAGAAAGGAACAATTAAGAAAATAAAGAACGAAGGAAAGAAAGAAGGAAAGAAATAAGGAAAGAACAAAAGAAAGAAAAAAAGAAAGAAAGAAAGAAAGAAAGAAAGAAAGACAGAATGAAATAACAAAATAAAGAAAGAAAGAAAGAAAGAAAGAAAGAAATAAAGAAATAAAGAAATAAAGAAATAAAGAAATAAAGAAAGAAAGAAATAATGAAAGAAAGAAAGAAAGACAGAAAGACAGAACATAAGGAAGGAAAGAACGAAGGAAAGAACGAAAGAAAGAAGGAAAGAAGGAAGGAAATACAAGGAAAGAAAGAACAAAGGAAAGAAAGAAAGATACAAGAAAAGAAAGGAAGGATGGAAGGAAGGGAGGAAGGAAGGAAGCAAGGAAGGAAGGAAGGAAGGAAGGAAAGAAAGGCAGCAAGACAGAAAGAAAGAAAGAACGCAAGAAGAGAAACAGGAAAGAAGCAAGGAAAGAAAGACGCAAGGACTGAAAGATAGAAAGAACACAAGACAGACATGACAACAGTATCAAAGAAAAGACAAGAGAGGACAATCAAAGAAAACAAAATAAAGATAATAAATATAAGAACGAACAGCATAAGGAGAAAGACTGAGATAAGGAAGGAAAGACAAACAAATACGGAGAGAAATGTGTCAAGAGCGAAGATATCAAGTAGACTAAGTAAGAAAGGAAACAAGAAAGCAAGAAATAAACATAAATGCAGAAATCCATAAAGACACATAGATAAGGAGAGACATATATAAAAAGAGACAGGAGTAAATATTGTAAGCAAGAAAGACAGAAAGCAAGAATGACATAGATATCGCCAGAAACTCATAAATGAACACAGAAAGAAAAGCAACAACAACTAAACAAGTAAGTAAATGACATATAGACAGACAAACAAAATAAAAGACAGAAAGAACAAAACACAGAAATAAATGAATAAAGGAAGAAAGAGCTAAAAAAGGAAGGAAGGAAGGAAGAAAGGAAGGAAGTAAGGCAGGAAGCAAGGCAGGCAAGCAGGAAGGAAGGCAGACAGAAAGAAATACAGACAGAAAGAACGACAGTAAGACGGAACGAAAGAAAGACGTACAACAAAGAAGGAGGGACAGAAATAAGTTCTAAACTGCTCCAAAATCTATCTCAACATCAACCTTCTTCCATAGTACAAATTGCCCCGCTTGTTGTGGAGTCTAATTGCGGTATGGACATCCATGTTGGAAGCACCGTTGTGATGCTGGCGCCATAGACATGCACATGCGCATGAACATGCGCACGCAGAATTAAATGCGCATGTACACTTACAGATACACAGACACAGACACAGACATAGACAGACACACAAATACACACATACACAGAGACACATACACATACATCACCAGGTGCACATGCACGTGCGGCCTTTCTTGTCGGCTTCCAAAGAAGTTGACTTGCCATTCAACATCAATCGCTGTTTGATGTGTCCCTTGCCTCTGTCTTCGGCAGACATGTGCTGCAGATTGTGAGACTCAGTGTGCGAATCATGACAGGCGCCCAGCAAGCTGCGTTCTTAGCTCACACACACAGACGCATCCCCAATATGTGTGAGTTTGTGCTCAGTCGATTTGTCGACGGCTCACATCATCATATTGCTTGAGAGCCACAACCGCTCAACACCATGCATCCAAAGCTTGAAACTCATTGAACACTTGTCCTAGCCCAGGGCGCAGTCCAAGTAGACGACGCGGGGACAGCCGTCGAAGGAAGGACTCACGATCAAGGCAGGTCATGTACATCGGTGATGCCCCTGTGCTGTTTCTTGATTTTTGGCTGTTCACAGGTCTCGGCGATGACGTACAAGCTGAATGAAAGGTTTGAGGGGGTCGCTGGCTTGGCATCACTGATGCATTTCTGGGCAGGGTGTTTGGATTTGAATTGCAAACCACGCGCAAGACGCAACGCGCAGGACACATTTCGAACAGTTCCCCGGAATGCAATCTTTGCAGACCCAGGTGCACGCCTGCTGAGCTGGATTGCAGAAAAGCGACTTCAAAAGTGAGGAATGGCTCTGTCTTCACCTAGTGTTCTTGCAAGACGTAATATTATATTTGCGAGCAGCCTGCCGCATGGTTCCTATGATGTGTACATAGACTCTCAATGGAGACGCATGCTGGATGCAAATTGAGGGTGAAATTGAGTTCTTGCAGGGATTGCACGGCTTGGTGCGATATATAATATGTTCGCATTTCTACTGCATAGTTTTCTGGAGTTGAACGTTGGAGGATGCTCGCCATTCGGAGGGCCATTTTTTTAAAGGATTCTTTTCTTTTTTTCGTTTTTAAAGGTTTTTTTTGTTTTTCAGGGTGGTGGCTTTCAGCTTTTTGGCTTTTGTGGCTTTTACGTGGGTTTTTGTGGTTTACGTGGGTTTTTGTGGCTTTTCATTTCGCATCCTCTGCATTCACAGTTTCTCTCTGTTTGTCTTTGTGGGTTCATGCGGCTTTTATGGCTTTGGCTTTTAGCATCCTCTGCATTGCCAGTTCCGCTTTTGGCGGCTTTCTGGCTCAGGCTTTTCGCATCCTCTGCTTTCCCAGTTGGTTTTTTGCCTTGGCTTCCTGCATCCTCAGCATCGCCAGTTCCTCTCTGGTTCCCCCCCGCCATCACTTTTTCGATCATCATGGGGGGGGTGCCCCCCCCAACCCCCCCGCTGCTTTTTTATATATTTTATTGGCCCTAATTGAATCATCACTTTTTCGATCATCATGGGGCTATGTTTTTTGGCCCTAATTTAATCATCACTTTTTCGATCGATTTGCTGGTGATGCTGGGGATGTTGGCTGGACACGCGGGGGATGTTGAACACGATGCTGATGATGTTGACGGACTAGCGTAAAATACGTACATTTCGCGAGACAATGCAGTAAATTACAGCATTTTAGTAGCCAGGACGGAAAAAACAATAAAAAACCCAAAATAATAAAAACAAATCCCAAATTAAATCTCGACCCTTTCTACTGCATAGTTTTCTGGAGTTGAACGTTGGAGAGAGGATGCTCGCCTCTTTTCAATTTGCCCCCCTCTGCATCCTGAACAGCTCAAGATTTGTCCTACCCAGTCTTCATGATGACGCCTTTGCACAGACAAGTTTGACAGACCTGGTTTTAGCACACAACTGGGGGCAAGGTCATGAAAACAGCTTGCGTACAACGCAATGCGTGACTCAGCTTGCCCGCAGATGGTATCAATTGTTCACGCGACTTGTTGATCAATCCATTGCTTGATGGCGATCCACCGCCTGGCAGGTGCGTTTGCATGTGCTCACCTCTTTACTGTACATGTATGGCCAGCATTTCAGACTCGGCAGACTTGCCATGCAGTAATGTCTTGCTGGACCAACTGTACACATATGCAGTACATGTTTGAGCTGTTTCTTTTGTGTGCCTTTGATTGAGATGTGGGTAGGGCAATGCTGCTTGCTGTTTCTGCATGCGGCAGCCATGGAGGTAAGCCGGGGGCATGAGCTGGCAAATGGCACACGTCGTTTCACAAGTATGGAGTGATGCTCCAGGTGCCCATCAATATCCCGTTTCAGGCTGGTTTCGAAAGAGGAGAAACCTGTGCTCAAATCAGGCACACGAGAGCACGAGAGCGCACCAACTTGTGACAGGTGGTAAGGCCGACGGCAAACCATTCCTCAATGCTGCCTGTGCCAGATGGCCTTGCAAGGCCCAGGGTGCTTGTTCGTGCCTGTTTTGGCAAAATTAAATGTCGCAGTATGTTGGCAGGCTTGCCCGCCATCCAAGCAGCATATCTATAGTTTCTGTGCCCTGGCTTAGAGCTGTGGCGCTTGGATCTTAATCTTTGTGACCACTCACGCTTTGAGGTTGTCGGCCCGTTCCACTCAGGGACAGCTTTGATGTTTTTGCATGTCTTGCCGGCACAGTGCCAGACACTGAATTCCTCACCCCTGAAGGAAGAGCTTCCTGTTGAATGCCCTGGTGGGCAACACCAAGGCAGGCCTGGACCAGCTTAGTAATTGCAGCATTTCAACATGCGCCTTCTGTTTGGGAAGACACCTTGCCGCTGCTCATTGTGTCGATAGGTATTCTCTGTTGGCCGGAAGACCTCACCAGAGACAATGGGAATTTGGCTTTGTACCAGCCCAGACATTTCTTGCATCGCTTGTGATCCCTTCAGAGCTTGCCAAGGCCGAACTGATATGCGTGCGAGCGATGGATCGGAGGCTTCCTTGAAGCGGATAGATAATCTTAGACCATTTGGTTTGCCAATTCAAGTTGCAACTGAGGTTGCAGAATTCCCCTTTTTGTCAGAAACCATTGCTTGTGCCGCTTGGCAGATTCCAGGTTTGGCTGATGGACTCTGAAGGTTTCTTTGGACCAGGCAGGAGTTGAGATGCCCGCTCCCGCAATCTTGAGCTGTGCAGGTGTGGCTGAGAGCTACGATGCCAAGATCTTTACGATAGCAACCCTTCTTGGCGGTCACCTTGTGTACGCTGCATGCACATAGCATAGCATAGCACTCACTTCACTGCCAGGCTGCCAGCAAACCAGCACGGTGCACCTTGATTCGCCGGCTTCAAGGTATAAGAATACTGTGTCATGTCACACCAACCTCACAGCACAGAAAGAGCCATGCTCACCAGCCAATCCTGAGAGTTCTTGTTTGGTTTGCCTCCCATGGATGAACCGCCACAAAAGAGAGCGCGCCACGCCAACGAATCTGTGACATGCACTTCAGCAGCAAAGGTGCCAGAGGCAGCACAAGAAGCAGAGGCAAGAGAAGCAGAGGCAGCAGAGGCATCAGACGCAGCAAATTCGACGCTGCGGGCCGAGTCAGCTGGGCTGCTGGCCGAGTTGGCAGGGCGGACTTCCACACACCCAGATGGCAACAATGCCAAACAAACCTTAGCAGTGCTGGGACTTGGCAATCCTGATGGATTGTCCCGGCGAGAAAGGCACAGCTTGGGAGCAAGGGTGGTTGCAGCATTGGCTGACAGCGCTTGCTCCTCCTCACTTCGGCTGCTGGAATCTGATTGCAAGGACCTGGCCGGAGCCAAGTGGTTGACACGGGGTGGGACCAAAGCGCTTCTACTACAGCCGACTCGACCAATCAACGACAGTGGACTGCAACTGCGCTCTGCGTCAGGGCCACAGCTGACCCATGCTGACCCATGCTAGCCATTGCTTGCCACATTTGCCATATCCTTGCCATTCGAGATTGGACACCTTGGAACTGCTCACCACGCCTTTCTTGGCGATCGTGGATGACTGCTGGTGCCTTCTCCAAAGAAAGAAGCATGACACATGAGGCATAGACTGCACAGATTCGAAGTTTGTTCTTGCACCATTTGCATGCTTGCTTTGGGTGTCTTTCCGAGGTTGCCGCTTGGATCTATCCGATTTCGTGAGAAGGGCTCCAGTGGGGGTCACAAAGGCTTAGAGGGAATAGAGGCTGTGCTGCTTGTCTGATTGTCTTGCGGTGCAGTGTAGCTTGACGGAACGTTGTGCTTCCCGTGCCTGCGTGCCTGCGTGCCTGCGTGCCTGGGTGCCTGCGTGCCTGCGTGCCTGCGTGCCTGCGTGCCTGCGTGCCTGCGTGCCTGCGTGCCTGCGTGCCTGCGTGCCTGCGTGCCTGCGTGCCTGCGTGCCTGCGTGCCTGCGCGCCTGCGTGCCTGCGTGCCTGCGTGCCTGCGTGCCTGCGTGCCTGCATCCGGAAGGCGATTTTCGGCAAGCAACACTACCACAGGCTGCGCTTAGGCGCCCTTGCCAGCTCTACTTTTGAGGCATTCGTTGCAGTGCCATTCAGGCATCGGGGGCAAGAACCTGAAGGACTCTGGGAAAAACGCAGGGGAAGAACAGGGCAAACATGAGGTCATTGCACCCTAGATGAAACAGTTCCAGAAGAGGAGCTGATCCAGACCGTTCTGCAAGCTTGAGCCAGTCATTTGAAGTGCGGTATATTTACTGAGATTTTGAACTAAAGGAGTTTGTGACGGGATCCTTCACCGACGAAGAGGAGCAAGCGTCCAAGTGCATATGCCACATTCCTTCGCAGCTCATGTGCGGCGTATGCGCAGCTTACGCATAGTTTAGTGGCTCTGACTTTTTGCCAAGGTCTCTTCTTCAGCCGGTGATTTCAGCAGCTGTGTCTGCTGTGGAGGCAACTCAACATGTTTGAGGCGCTTGCAAAGCTTGGCGATCAGATAAAGTTGTGCCAGACGTGGCTATCTCTGGGGCCATCTGCAGCGCAGAAGGCAGTGATGGGAGCAGAATCCAAGATGTTTTTTGTTTTTTTTTGCAGTTGCCTCAGATCAAATGTGTTGTTTAACTGCGTGTTCTGGCCCGAGATCATGAGCATTGTGAACGCCCCCACTTTTGTGATGCTTGGATGCATGAGTCAAACACATATTTGCCCTTATCATATTGAACCTCATTTCCATATTCAACACCAATTTCAAAGAACATTTGTTTAAACTCCAGGTTTTGACACGTTTATTTTTGTCGTGTAAGAATACGTGAAGACAAGACATCATTACGACTAGTGTCGTGCGTGTGCAGCATAATTGCAAACCGTACACAGGCGACCTGTGATGTTACCAGCTATCATCCGATGCACCTAGAGCAAAATACAAATCACCTAGAGGAAACAACCTGAAAAAAAACAATCCCCCAGACAAAAGGTATGAGGCATGGCCAACACATTCCCTCAGGACGACGTTTTTACGCGTTTTGTGTTTGTGCTTTTCCTCAAGGTTTTTGGGGTTTCGCAGATACACATAGAAGATGTATGCTAGACATATTCTGAAACAATCTGTGACCAAGATTCCTGTCAAACAACCTTGAAATTGCTGATGTCTCGTCATGGAAAAGGCTCATCTTACGCATGAATTACGCCCACGCACGGCATTGGCCTCTCTTTCTGGATGCTTGGGTCAAACTTTGGTTTTGCGCTGGCCAGCCTCAAATTGAGGGCGGTCGTGCTGCGTGCCAAACATCCAGGTACCATGAACGGCACAATCCAGACATTTGGACGTCATGACCTTTCAATTGCGTGCAGTGGCCTTTCTGGCAAAGGTCAACGGATTGAAGTCGGCAAATCATGTGCGTTTACAAAGTTCTTGGCTGCGTTTGGCAGGTCGTCATCTCAGTCAGAGCTGTCGAACAGGATGGAAAAGCCGCAGTTAATGTCATTTCGCCCCTGCTGCAAAAGATACTGCGCTGACATCGGCATCAAGCAAACCTGCAAAGTCCGGGTTCCCGCAGTGAATTTCGAATGGTTGAATAATTTGCCTGGCCTTGTTCAAAATGCGCTGCCAAAGAAAGCAGGCGCAAGTGCTCCGTGTAGCGGAAGGTGCTTGCAGAACCAAACTGTTGAAGTCGCTTTCAAGCAGTCGTCGCGGTCAAGATCATGCGCATCTTTTAATGCGCACGAAACACGGCCAGAACAGAACATGCGCGAAATGGTATCGCCGTAGAGAGTGGAGCTCTTGACCTATTGTTGTCGCCCAGCCCAGGCCCGTCATGTCGCCGGACGCAAGCGTGCGGGCTCTCTGTCTGAAGGCTGTGTGCGGCACCAAGGCAGTGGGACATCAACAGCAAAGTGGCGAAACGCTTAGCCATGATCCACACAGTGAGTTTGGGCAAGCCTTCCGTGAACAACCGATTCCATGTGCAAGCCGCAATACATGCGTTTCCTCGCTGTTCCCGCGCGAATCCCGCGCGATCCTTTGTGGAGACTTTGCAACTTGCTGTGAATGCGCAGGAGAGCCCGTCGCGGCTTAGACCTGGCCCACGACCACGACCTTGGTAGCATGCAAGACAACGTGTGAGAGGCATGAGCAAGACCCACACAGACAGACGAACGCGCGAGTCATATAATTTGCGAAATGTGTGCAAAAGATATACATGTGTTCATTTCCTCGGCGCAAGACAGTCACACAAATGAGTATGCCGCGCGTGGCTCTTGCGTGTTCCAACTTGCTCTGGTGTTTTAGGTTGTTTCCTTGACGCATGTTAATTGCATGTGTTTGCTTTGGTTGTATTGGTGGCCGAGGGCATCGTTTTGCGGAGTGCCTGGCCAACGTTTTAGAGAGCGTGTGTGGTCGAAAAGCACATTTGGGCTAACAGCCCCTTACTTGGCCCTTGCTCAGCACAAGGACGTACTAAGCAAATGTGCGTGCCTTCACGGAAGCACGTGCGCGAGGCAAACTTGCTTCTCAAGCCCTTCGTTGCATCAAGCTCACTTGCTCAGAGCAAACTTCTGCACAGCAGACCTGCGCAGATCATGTTTGCACAAAGCGCAGATCTGCTTTCTCGTTTTGCGTTTTCATAATTCCCGCATAGTATTAGCCCTTCTACGGCATGTTTTTGTTGCTCTCTGATGCCCAGCGTGCAAGACAAGTTGAATGGCTTCATTGCATCGAGGAAGCAACCGCCACCTCCAGTCCCATCAAGGACACGCTTTTCTGCTGTTGCACATCTCGAACGCTGCCCAGAAATGATCACCGCGGTTTGCTTTTGACCGGTCCATGCTCTTGTAAACACAAGCTTCGCTGTAGCTCTAGCCTCAAGCATCCCACCGCCAAAATATGGTTTGCAAATGGTTCAGCGAATGGTCTGTGACTAAGTTGACTTGCTCGGCCTAGAAAACGCATTCTTGCTAGCATCAACTTTTGGATTGAGGTTAGCCCCACTGGTGCTGGAGTACGTGGACTTCCAAAGCCTGGCAACGCTGGAGGCCACTGGGGTGTTCCGAAGGGACAGGTTTCCATTGTTGCAGCTTGGTGTGCAATTTGCAATTTGTACAGGCGGTTGATTAATTGAGATGTTTGATCTAGATTGATAATATTTTCTGGGCCTGCGGCCTCTAGCCGGCTACGCCTCTTTGAAGTTATACCATGTCATGTCATGTTTTTTGTATGAGAAACGCATCCTGTGCTATGATATGGCTGGTTAGGTTATGCATGTTGCCCACCCAAACCCCAGATGATGCGGGGATGCCAGCTTTCTGGGCCCCAGCCGGGACCCAAAACAGAAGGCTGACACGGGGTCGCGGACGCGCGCGCCAGAGGCCGCAGAAACAGCAGCCCGAAAAGAACAGCCCGCAAGCCAGCCCGGAAACGCAAAAGCAACAAAACACCGTAAATAGCAGCGTTTTGTGGCTGGGGTCGCGCGCGCGCGCCAGAAGGCCCGAAAACCAACGCGAAAAAAGCAAGGGCCGCGCAGCACGCGAGCCAGCCACAGCAAAAGCAAAACGGACAGAACAACAGCCCACCGCTCAGCACAGCAGTTTTTGACGGTATTCACAGCGTTTTGTAGAGCGAGGGCCCAGAATCGCCGGCATGCCCGGCAGCGCTTGGCGCCAAAATGCGCGAAAATGAGCCTCGCTTATATCCCTCCGATACCTTCTGAAAAACAGTGCTTTTTGGGTTGAGAGGCTTTTTGGAAGGACGTCTTGATGATGCAGACCAAGCCCCGCTGAAGCATCACCCAGGCGCAACCCCAGACCCTGATGATGTCAGCCACACGGCCTAAACCCTGCATATACGCGATGTTTTGCGAGGGTTTCCCACAGGCAAGCAAAACCGCCAGCCCGAGCTGGTGATGCAGAGGTGCCGGATTTAGGCCACGCATCACGACCAAGTGACGAGGGTCGGCGGCACCAGGGTGCAGCCCCTATAGCTAAAGCTAGCAGGCTAATTGCCTAGCGGCGACATGCTACCCCAGGAGGCGTAACCGGATTTACGTTGCTGGCGCACAACCGGCCGCGGCAGCATGGCGAGGCTCAACTTCACAGCTCTTGCAAGGACGGCCAAGCAGGCAGCAGCGACAACAACAACACAAACATACAGACGCTTCCTCACTTGCACGCAGAGACACATCCATTTTCCAAACATCTTCCCTTCACCGCCCGCACGCACGCAGGCACGCGCGCGCAAGCACACACGCTGGCACGCACGCGCGCTCACGCACGCACACCCACCCACGCACGCACCCACACACAGGCACACACACACACACCAGACTCACGCGCAACACACACCCACCCACCCACCCACCCACGCACGCGCTCACGCACCCACGCACCCACCCCCCCACACACGCGCGCGCACGCACTCGCACGTCACGCAAGCACCCCACACACCCACCCACCCACCCACCCACCCACCCACGCACGCACGCACGCACGCACGCGCGCGCGTGCGCGCGCGCGAACGCACGCACACACGCGGCCCTCGCGCGCGCTCACCCACGCACGCACGCAGCCGCGCGCGCGCACGCACGCATGCACGCACGCATGCGCGCAAGCACGCACGCATGCGCGCACGCACGCGCGCGCGCGCAGGCGCGCGCGCCTGCGCGCACACGCACGCCGGCCTGGGCCAGTTGCCACGCAAAACGCATGTCAAAACCAAACGTTTTCATCGGATTTTTGCAGTAAAAGCTCGCATTTTCATGTGTTTTTCCAGTGTTTCAAGGCTGTAGCAGGACGCCGTGTGTAAAGGCAGCTCCCAGCAACATCCCCAGCATCACCAGCATCACCGGCATCACCGGGGCAAGACCGCAGACTTGCAAGCCCAAGGCTGCAGACCCAAAACAAGCCCAAAAACGCACCCTCCAGAAGCAGATGATTGCACAGGGTTGGCGGCGCGTTGCGGCAGCCCCATAGAGCTTCGCTCTAGAGCCTTGCTCCAAAGGACCAAGGGGGTAATCTGACACAGCCGTTCGGCCCGCTTCGCAGGCCGCCGGATTTAAGGGCTGCCGCCCTGTGCTGGTGATGCTGAGGATACGTTATGATGCTTATCATCCGATTTAAGACGCACAAGATGCGCGGACAGGATTATTGTGATGACTGCTGGTGATGAGCTGTTCACAACAAGGAAAGTCGATACTGAACTCAGCATCCTCTCATAATTATTTTAAGGAAGCCGGGGGCGGCAGT